AACTTATTGTTTTTCTGGCTGCAGTGGTCTTCATTGCCCCCTATCTGGCGATCCCTTCGTCCAATTGACACTATAATGGTGGAGGCTGCCGCCGATGCTATGGGCAATGGCCGTACATTTGCTATTGGCGGCTACATTGCTTTACCGGCTGGGGAATTCTGGTTCTCTGAGAGATTTACTGTGGAGGACTTTGCATTTGCAGAGCTTCCTCTTAAGTCCGAGGCGCACAAGGACATTACCTGTTACGAATGCCTGGGTCAGATTGCATTAGTTTGGCTTTTGAGTGCAGTTCACCCAGGATGCAAGCTTTCTGTTCGCATGCATTCCTGGTGTGACAACAGTGGTGCCGAAGCCACAGCAAACAAACTGTTTACGACTTCATGGCCTCTTGCTGCATTTGTGCAGCGACTAGCCATTCTGAGTAGCTTTACTGGAGTGCATCTTGATGTGCATCACATCGCAGGTCCTAAGAATGTGGAAGCGGACTTTTTGAGCCGTTGGCTTCCTCCTGCTCCATTGCCGGATCGATGGAGCATGTCGCGTCGTCGACGTATTCCTTTAACCTCGTTATGGACGGCATCGCCTTCCATTTCACTTTCTCCGGAGGGCTGGAAGCCTCCCTTTCGAGTTCCGAGTGTTTCTCCATTGGGAGCAGCACTCTAGTCACCTTGTCGCACGGTTTTCATTTGGTGGAATTGATGCGCGACTTCGGTTCTCTGGCAGTTTGCATTTGGGGGGAAAACATGCAGATCAGTTTCACTGCAAGGTCCATTCCTTGCTCGGACAAAACGATCTGCATTCCCGCCAGAGAACAAAAGGAGCGAGTGTTGAGCGACTGCATCAATTCCATTTATATATTCCTTTTGAATATTTCCTTTCGCTTTATATGTATTTCCATTACATATAAAGCTGCAAATAGGAAGCAGCTGCGAATACATTAACCGAACGGTATGTGTGCTTGCTCACGAGTGTTTGGTAATGTTTTGCATGCTTGCTGCATTTCATGACATTCAATGTTCATTGCAGCAAGCAGGCTCGCAGCTGCCAGCTCGCCTGCATCGCAGGCAAAAATTTTGTCCCACCCACCTCTTCCCTTTTATTGGGGAGTACATTGCTGGCATCTGCATTCTGGTGGCGGTCTTTCTTGCTTGCATTTCTGTGGATGTCTGCATCAACATCAGGCGAAGCTTTCTTGGCCATCTTCTAAGAAGATTGACCATTCTGCATTCCTTCATCGGTGACAGGTCGGTGCCTTTTGATGCACCTCGATCTCACCGGATGGGGGAAAACATGCAGATCAGTTTCACTGCAAGGTCCATTCCTTGCTCGGACAAAACGATCTGCATTCCCGCCAGAGAACAAAAGGAGCGAGTGTTGAGCGACTGCATCAATTCCATTTATATATTCCTTTTGAATATTTCCTTTCGCTTTATATGTATTTCCATTACATATAAAGCTGCAAATAGGAAGCAGCTGCGAATACATTAACCGAACAAGTGCGGGAGTACTGGTACTAGGCACGTTGTGCGCGGGTACCGTACTCTCAACGATAGGAGACACCCCTTGAAGCATGTTGACATCATCCTTCACGGCATTGCACGAGTTATCTTCACTTGCGATCTTCGTGTCATTCGGAGCAATGGTCTTGTCTTTGCTCGGCTCAGACAATGCAAACTTCTCTTTGGCGACTGGACTAACCTGACTAGGAGATCGTGTTTTAGGGGATCGTACCTCAACTCCTAAGGAAAATGCAGGCACTACATCCTTCCCTACGTGTTCCCAGCCCGATTCAGTAGTCCTTGAAGACATTGGCACACTTGGTGGACGGAACGATCCAACATGTAAATTGGTACTTCGTGCCGCCTCAAGCTCGCTTTGTGTCCCTGATTGGAGATCTTCTTGCGCTTTAAGCGCTCTCCTGAGTTCGTTCAACTCATCATGCAATGTCGGCAATGCCTGTCTTGCTTGATCTTCATGCTGTTGAAGTTGAACTTCGGCGTCTCGCATCCTCTTCACGGCCATTTGACGGAACTCCTCTTCTTCACCAAGACGCTCACGAAGTCGATGTTGTTCATGATCCATAGCAGCTTGGTTGCCAACCATGCCTTGGATCTCGCTCACGACTCGCGATTCCTGATTCCTGGCAAGGATGAATCGTTCCTGTATAGCATGCATGGCTTGCTCAGAGCTTGCCATGCTCGATCGGAGGTACAAGTTCTCTCTGGCTTGTTCATTGAGCTCCTGTGTCAGGTGCTCATACTCACGCGCCATAAGCTCGCCATCTCCTTGAGCTCGTGCTTCCAGTTGCGCAAATTTGCGGCAGCCTCGTTGCGAACCACATGCAGTTGGTGAGCGAGTTCTTCGGCAATAGCATGTCCTTGATGCTGTTGAGCTGAGTTCTGTTCATCCATGCGAAACAACGCAACTTCATAATCACGCTTCATTTCTTGATTGACATTGTTGATGTGCCGCATAGCCAAACATGCGTTATCACGTTGTCGTTCCAATTCTTCGATGCGAATTCCAGATCCTTCATCTTCCTGCTGCATCTCTCTGATCTTGTCCATCAGGTTTTGCACGACGCCCTCGTACTCCTGCACTTCACTTCGATAGTACATCTGTTGTGCTAGGTTCGAGGCTTCGAGTTGTTGTCGCATCGTCATCTCCTGATAGAGACTCGGATCATCGGCTATGGCCGGGGTAGCCACTGATGATGCATCACCTCGTACCGGTATGGTCTCGAGGGCCATATCCGCGTCATCAGGATCATGAGGATGATTCGTAGCCATCTTCTTCCATGTCATGGACCTGTCCCGTACCCTAGCTGTCGATGTCCTCGATCGTGCTGATGAGCTTCAGGAAGATGACGGTCTTGACGTCTTTTCCACAGTCTTCACTCCTCTGTCCTTTGCCCTGGACGGTGTCCTTGCCACCTGAAAACCAGATGTCTCGGCACGCCGATCAACTGCCTTGGCTGTCCTCGATCCTGGGGATGTTGGACGAGAAGGCGTGGATTGCGTGGATGCTCTTGGTGCATCTTTTGCTTTTGCTTTGGGAACTGCCTTCGCGATGGCAAGATTAGAAGATTGACCTTTGTCATCTTCAGTGGAGCTATCAACGGATTGCACCACGGTATCGTCAGCAGTTGAATCACCAATTGCTGGCGTGGGGATTTGGTCTTGATGATGTTCCTTGTCGCTCACCCCACCGAGCTATTGTGTAATGATGTGGTTGCCCTCAACAGACTCGATATGCTCTCTCCTTCACTCCCACGTGTAAGCTCTACTCCCAGGGCAGGCAGATCCAGAGCTCGCTTGTTTTCCACCTTTGCGGCCGGCGATGGATCGTCTGTGCTCGGGAAGGCTCTGTTCCTCGGAAAGGGTCACAGAAGACGAAAAGCTGTTTCAGCTATCGGCAATGCTTTCTAGAGCTGTGCTCGTTCTTGAGCTTGAGCTCAAGTGACTTGAGCCAAAGTTGCGTAGGCGGCATATGGTAAAAGTGGTTCGGCACTGTGGTATGCGTAGCATGCCCACAGGCCTACACCTAGAGATGGAGTACGCGAAGCGTGCCTCCACTCTTGACCTGTACAAGGCCTCACTCATAGCTCTTATCGTGACACCATAGAACTTGACTAAGCATCGCAGTCCGTTCGCATTCTGGGCTTGGCACCTTGTGACCTTTCATGTCGTATCGCTCATAGCAAATGATGTTTGATGTAGTTCGAGGTAGTTCAACAGTTGGAGATTTCACAGTAATTTGTATTCGCGAGTGCCGTTAGACATGTAAACATGCTATGTCTATATGCATGCAATTGGGAACATGTGTGTACACATGTAGACTTGCGTGCTGTTAGCACTCATACATGCATATTTACACATATTACACTTACACATACACACCCACATGGAAGTACTGTATATCCATATGTGCCATACGGACCAGATTGGATTTTAGGAGCCATTTCAAAAACTGTAACAAGCGCACTTTCACAGCGATTTGGTTTCAAAAAAGGTTTCATTGATGGAAACGCACACATCGTCCGATAGAGCTCGTGAGGGAATGTTGCTGGATTCCGGCATTTTGAAAAGATTTTTTGGAAAATGAGTTTGCTGAACACACCCTGTAGGTGTGGCACAGTGATTGAAGTTGCCCGCCGCTGCAGCCCTCCGTCACTCAATGTGAGGTGATCGGCGGAAATTTTTCCCACCCGACCCACCATTTTCGGGTTGCAGCGGTTGCGTTTTTTCCCTAGCCCGACCGTTTGTTTGACAGCGCACGTGGACCCTTCCGCACGTCAAGGAAAATACTGCGAGTGGGATTCGAGGTGCTTATATTTGTGTACTCCTTATGTTGGATTAGTTTGGCAAGCGATTTCAGTGATGGAACAGAATTCTGAGTTGCGCGTGGGCAGTGGTTCTTGTTTCCGCCCGCCACTCTTTTGTTTCGCTGTACAGCCTGCTTCTTCGATGTTTGCAGCCAGCTCCGATAGCTCTTCTCGGGTTTCGCTGAGGGTATTGTGTCTCCGACATCGTGCAACCAGCCGCTGCCAAAGTTTTGCCTACACTGCTCGTGGATGACACGCAAGACCTGTTCGTTTGGTTAATGCCAAAAGTCGGCGGCGAAGCTCCGTTTGCGTATGTCGACACTCCCCAAACGACCACACAGAAGGGGATGTGACATTATTTGTTGACTTGTAAAAATTTGCTGTGGCAAATTAGCTTGCTTGATTTTAAATCATTTGAGCTCGTTTCCAGCTGGAATTTTCTTGTTGGGCTCTGGGCCGGCATCCGTCTAGCAGGTTCCAGGCCTTGTACTCCGGTGCTTCCTAGTGCTCCTGAGGGGGCTTTCCATGGAAGGCCCTGCGGTGCTTCTGTCTGCGAGTGTTGGGCACAGAGACGCTGCACGCTTAATCTGGCACTGCCTGTCGTCTGACGACCGACTACAATACCTTCGTATGTGCTGGTACATTCGCTGCAGCTGCTTTTGCGCCCGGCCCTGATATGAGTGCCCAACTGTCACCCGAAGCTGCGGTTGCCTCCGCTGAGCAGGGCCCGGAGCTTCTCGGCTCCCCCGATCTTACACCTGCCGGCGAGCCGGCCGCGTCTGCATCTCAAGCTGAGTCTCAGGAGCTGGTTTTTGGGTCTCTGGGGGATTTTGATTCAGCAGCTCTTGATGCAGTGTTACAAGAGACAGCACATGATCCAGAATTGGTCAGCCTCGAGGAGTTGGCCAAGTCTTTGAGAGAGCCTAATGTTGCCAGTGGGTTGCACTTAGGCCCTGCCCCAGCCTCTCCTGCCGGGTCCCTGGGCAGGGCTTCTCCGGTTGGCGGTCCGCCTAGTGTAGTCCTCTCTCCCACATTCTCTTGGGGCGCTCATTCTGATGCGGAAGAAGATCCTGGCTCAGAGACCAGATGGTGGAATCAGGTCCGCGACTCCGAGCCCGAGTCTGGGCCTGCTGGGGTCTCTTCGTCCTCTGGTTCTTTCGACTTTGCTGCTACATTCAGGATGGCCGTGCAAGCACAGTGGCGGATGCCGGAAAGGGAGCCGCTTAAGCAACCTTGGGAGCAAGGGATCTTTGGTGAGCTATTCGGAAGTGGAGGCCCAGAGCTACTGCCCACTTTGAAGAGGTCTGTTCCTACAATTCTGAAGGAGGACGGAGCGCCTTCTGGAGGGGCAGAGACCGCTGCAGTGAAGAGATCGAGGATCGTGGACAAAGGTGTCTCGCTGTGGCGTGGAGTGAGCAGCGTGAGGCTCAGTTCGAGATCGGGATCGACTTGTGGATGACCCTCATGAAAGGCTGGAGTAGCTGCAGCTTCGTTGACCTTTTGGATGCCGAGCTGCCTGGTGATGCCCAGCGGGGAGTTATCTCCGACATCTTCAGGAGAAAAGCGCCTTCGACTCTACTGAAAAGAGGGCGGGCCATTGCAAATTTTCAGAGTTACCTCGAGGAGAACCTCGCAACCTTCCCTTGTGTGGAGCGTGAGCTGTACCAGTACTTGAAGCATCTGGAGAAGCACGGGGCCCCCAAGAGCAGGTGTTCTGGACTGTTGGAAGCTCTCGCCTTCGTTCGGCATGTGGTGGGAGTGGAAGAAGTCGAGTGCCTATTAAAGAGTAGACGCTGCAGGGGCCTTGGAGTGGTGGAATCTTTCAAGGAGTCCAAGCAGGCCCCGGCCTTGACTGTGGCGCAACTTCGACTGCTGCACGAGGCTCTCGAGTCGCATCAGGACCCCTGGACCCGTCACTTCGCGGGATGCGCCTTGGTGGCTACTTTCAGTCGCTGCAGGTGGTCTGACATACAGCATTCAGTCCAGCTTATCGTTGACAGAGGTCAGGATGGGGAGCTCATTTACCTGGAGCTCAGGATTGGGGTGCATAAGACTTGTCGGCTACAGAGCAAGAGGCATCGCTTCTTGCACGTGGTCTCCCCGAGTCTGGGCTTGAAGCAATTTGGCGAACTGTGGCTGAAGAGCCGAAGGGACATCGGACTTTCGGACGAAAAGAATATGCCTTTTTGCCCTGTGCCGGATGCAAGTGGCCGCCCGACAGTCCGAGGCATTGAGTCGGACGAAGCCACAACTTGGCTTCGTCTCCTCCTCAAGAGCGAGCCGGGAAAGGAAATCGAGCCCTCGTCGAAATCCTTCAAAGCCACCATTCTCTCGTGGGCGGCCAAGAGAGGAGTGGATGGCCTCTCAATTCAGAGGTTAGGCTACCATGCGTCGGGAGGTTTGGACATTGTCTACAGCCGTGATGCCCAGGCGCCGTACATACTTCTGGTGGAGAAGCTCCTGGCCGAAGTTCGTGATGGGAGGTTCAAGCCAGACGAAACCAGAGGGGGTCGGATCATCGGGGCGCCGACGTCTCTGCTAGAGTCCTGAGGTTGGTGCTCCTGTGCCCCAGCTGGTCAAGGAGGAGATCAGAAGTGACCTCAGCGCAGGGTCGTTTGTCGTCGTGAATGCAACGGAGAGCGAGGCTGAGGGTGATCTTGTGTCCCTCGGTAGCTCTACGGACTCAGCAGATGAGTACGAACATCAGCCGGTTGCAATGGTGGCCCGAGGGGACGCCGTACCTGACGGTTTTGACCTTTGGTTGCATGCGGGCTCGAAGATCGCTCATCTGGGTGTTGCTGAGAATTTTAAAAATCTTTTAGCCTGTGGCAGGGTAGTCGGACCAAAGCATGCAAAGCTCCGAACGAGGGCGCTAGGGAACGATGTAAAGCCTTGTCAGTTTTGTTTCAGACGGTGACCCGCTCCCGGAAAGGAAAAACTCTGAGCAGCGTGCGCTGGTGAAGTTTCCCAGGTGGTCGTTTTCCTTGCGCGTGCTCTGGGTGAGGTGTCCCCAGTGGTGCATTGCAGCAAGTGAGCTTAGCGACCCGAGCGCAATGTTGGCTCATGAGCAGAGTGTCGGGAGGGGTCGATCAAGCGCAGCTGAAACACATTACAGCTTCAGGCTGGACAGCACTGCTGATGCGAGCACATAACTTGGAAGTGTGCAGTGACAGCTTGCAAGATAGCAACTAGTGACCTATCATAGAAAGATGGCCTTGATCTCTTCGGAGGCTGCACTGAGGCAGAGGTGCCTGGAGGTCACTCCGGATGGGAGTCTTTACACGTCTTTGTCAGCGCAGAGCATACGCACCTTCAGGCAGTTGGCATTCGCTATCGGAACGCCGAGGTCGGAACCCACTCAGAAGCAGTACCAACAGCTAGCAACGCAGCTGTTCGGGGCTGCAGCTACCATAGGCCGAGTTGCGCAACTGCGTGATTTGCACTTTGAGGCAACCGCATATGTCATCCAGGCTTTGAAGGATCAGGTAAGTGCGGATAATCCTGAAGGGCAGGTCCGAAAAATGCCGATGGCTGAGCGAGTGGCCAGGATGCTTGAGCAGCAGGGGCGTTTAGTAGGAGTTTCCATTTCAGGGGAGCTTCAGCCATCGACTCCTTGATCGATAAGGTTAATCACATTCTGGAATCCGGACTCTTAGTGTGGGTGCCGCCGTCTATGTGCGGAAAGCGCGACACTGAAGTCGCCCAAGGCATTGAGCATAAAACGTCTGTGGTTCAAATCGAGAAGGAGGCATTGAAAGTGGCTGCTCCGGAATCGGAGACGAAGGCGGATCTTACGACTCCTCTGTTGATGCATTTTGCTTTCCAGAGGAGGGGAATCGCTTTTGATCAGTGTGGCCTGATAGATTGGGCGACCCACCAGGACTACCTCCACCGTCTGTTGAGCGCGATGAGTGCGCCGGTGCCGCCAGGTTTCCATCCTGTCACCGCAACCCAGGTGGTGCGTGCCGATAAGGAGCTCTTCACAATCATGGCTAGAGAGTGTCCACCTCCCTTCAAGGTCAGGGCTGATGGGACTAAACCTCTGAATGTGGCCTTGAAGTCCCTCATGTTGGATTCGAGGATTCAGATGTGGTTGCTGCCGTCGCCAGGTGGGGTTGCAAGCAAAGTTCCGGTTGGGCCAGATGTGGAAGCGCCCGCCGAAGCGCCGCCGGGAGTGCCAGCTCCCCCGAAGAAGCCTCGCATCCGAAAGAAGGCCAAGAAGGTGATCCCGGACAGCCTCAAGGGCTGCAAAAAGTTCGGGAAAGGTCCATGTTGCTGGGCGTTTAATCTTGATGGCTGCACGAGTGAGACTAAAGTTGTAGAAGGTCTCCCCAAGTGCCAGAAGGGATTCCACGTGTGTATGTTCTGTCACAAGCCGGGGCATAGCTTTAGCAATTGCCGTGCAAAAGGGGGCCAGCAGAAGGCCTGACAAGAGGAGGCGCCTGAAGGATCTCAAGCTGCTGATGGTGTCAGGCCTTCAGGTGCCAGCCACGTTGCACAAGCCTCTGCCAATTTTGGATCTTTGACGAAGAAGCCGAAGCTTTGTGATTGTGTGCATGCTGAGGATTTTGCATCTTCGCTTAAGGATCAACAAGCAACTGCAGAGCAAATTTTGACCCTTTTTGACTTGCTGGAAAAGGATGATGCTCCCAGGGGCTCTGAGGTTCGGGGGAAATCCTTTTCTGCAGGTAGTTTTGTGCATGGGGGTGTTGTGGGTCTTCACAATGCCACGACGAACTATCCGATCTCGGTGCAAGTTGTGTGCAGCTTCATCAGGCGCTTCGCGGGTGGCTATCCATTTGCTGCCTTCGCTTTCCTTGATCAGACTCAATCCGACTTGCACCAAGACACCAATAACGAGCCGAATTCTTGGAACCTGATAATCCCTTTGTCTGTTTTCCAAGGGGGAGGGGTTTGGTATGAAGCCGACTCCGGCCCTCACGTTTGTCCTCAGGACGCGCAAAGGAAGGGTTTCATTTTGGATGTATCCGGCGGGCCTCAGTGGCTTCCGGCCGCCGCGGCCAGGCATTGTACCCTGCCTTGGGTAGGACGGCGTTGCGTTTTGGTCGCGTTCACTCCTAGGTTTTTGCATAAGCTGCCGGCTGCGAAGGTTTGTCAGCTACATGAGCTAGGCTTTCAATTGCAGAGGCCGGTCCAAACGGCTGAACATGTCTTTAACCGGGTGCCATCCTCTCTGTGTGTGGATGACATGCTGGTGATCCAGCTCTTTTGCGGATCTGCAGGCCTCAGTTGGGCCTGCCATAGGCTGGGGTTTCAGGTCATGCCGATTTGGCATAAGCAGCCGGATGCCAAACCACGTCTGAGGGTCCATCAGTTGGATCTTGCGAATGCAGATTCTGTGCACAGCCTTCAACATTTTATCATCACGGAATCACATCGCATCGCCATGATTTGGGCAGCCGTTCCCGAGAATACTGTAAGCGCGGCCCGGGAAAAGCCAATTCCCCGGCTCCAGCGCTTGAATCTGCCAGTGCCTCAGCCTCTTCGGAGCACCAAGCGGCCTCACGGCTTGGATGGCCTTGTCGGAAGAGACAAACAGCGGTGTGAAGTGGCAAATCGGCTCTACCAATCAGTGTCAACCTTGTTTCAAGCTGCCCTGGAGCGTGGTGTTCGGTGTGTTCTTGAAAATGCCGCCAGTTCCTTGTTCTGGCAAACGGATTACTTCAAATCGTTGGCTGCAATGCATGCTGGATCAACCGTGCAATTCCATATGTGCCAACATGGAGGTGCCAGGCCTAAACTGCTTCAACTTTGGACTTCAGACCATGCCTTTGACTCGCTTGCTGCGCAGTGTCCCGGGGCAAAGTTGTGCAAGCATGAACCTTGGATCCCCGTGGCATCGGAGCGTCGCCAATTCATTGCTGCCAGTTCATCGTCAGCCTACCCGCAGATTTTCTGCGAGCGCGTGGCAGGCATGTTGAAGCAAGTGTGCCGCAACACAGGTGTTCGAGAGAGGCTCTCCCTGCCCGATGCCGTTGAGTCCTCAGCGCCGAAGCTGCAGCGGCTGGCTCTAGGACTTCAGCCCGCAGGAGCTAGCTTGCCGCAACTGCTTCCGGAGTACAGCCATCGCCTGCAAGTTGTGGTCGTGCCGTCAAATTCACCACCAGCCTCGCCACAGCATGCAGTGTTGCTTTCTCGGCGTCTTCTCATGTGGGGGGAGCACCAGGCCGAGAAACGAACTCCCACCGAGGGCGTGAAATTTCAGCTTGACCCAACGTCTCTTCGCCCAGACAGCTTGATTGAGGTCTTCACTTTTGGCATACCTGCCTCGCCTGAAGCCTTTGTCAAAAGGGCTGTGGCTTGTGGACACCCTGCCGATTTCGAATCTTCCTTGGAGCCTATCTTGAAGGAGGTGGTGAAAGAAAACATCGTGGGGGACGAGGTCAAACTTGCGAAGGCTCGCCTAGCTTTCATTGCGAAGTGGCGATCCAGAGCCAAGGCTTTGGAGAAGCAGGAAGCTGCGCTGCACGAGGGCCTCCCCGGCCCACATAAAGAAAATTTTGGAGGGAAAAAGGCTTTTGCTGTGGCAAGAAATGGTAGAGCGCTACAACCTTCCCGACACCAATCTGGTGAGCGATATGCTCAAGGGCTTTAGTCTCAGCGGGTGGATGCCGAGCAGTGGTTCGTTCCCACCGTCGGCAAAGAGACCGGAGCTCTCAGTGGAGTCGTTGAAGATCTTGTCAAGCGGCTTCAATGCAGCCACTCTGCAGAAGACCCAGGTCAGACAGGATGATGATCTGGAAAAAGCCACTTGGGAGGAGACGCTTTCGGAGGAAGCAAATGGATGGATCTGGAAGTGTTCGGAGCAACAGATGGATGGGAAAGTGGTTGCTCGAAGATTTGGCATCCTTCAAGGGAGCAAAATTCGGGTGATAGATGATCTTTCTTGTTGCGGTCTTAATGCGACGGTGGGGCTCAGGGAAAAGTTCGTGCTTCATTCGATCGATAAGATGGCTGCGATGCTTGCGTACGCCACTTCATTGGTTACGGACCCGGACTTTTCCTTATGCGGTCGTACGTACGACCTCAAGAGTGCGTACAAACAATTCCCAATCTGCCAACGGGATTTTGACTTGCTGAGATTCATGGTGGCCGAGCCTGGAAACCCTAACCCTGTCCTCTTCGGGTTTAGTTCCCTCCCTTTTGGGGGTATAGGCTCGGTGTCCGCCTTTCTTAGGATAAGCGCCTGCATATGGCAGATTGGTGTTTTGGGCCTCCGGGCACTGTGGACGGCTTTCTTTGACGACTACTCTGTCGTCAGCAAGGAGTCGTTGAAAAAGAACACCGCTTATGCCATAGAGTCTTTATTTTCTCTGCTAGGACTTGACTTCGCCAAAGAAGGTAAGAAAGAGCCGGCCTTCTGTGAGCAGTTTGGCATGTTGGGGCTTTCGGTTGACCTTAGGGGATTTAAGCAAGGGAAAATTGAGATTGGGCATACCGAGAAGCGGGTGGCCGAGCTCAAATCCGCACTGTCCGAAACGCTCGAGTGCAACCGACTCTCTCAGAAGGAGTCGGAGAGACTGAGGGGTCGCATGAACTTCTTCGAAGGACACGCGTACGGCAGGGGCCCAGCTCAGGCTTTGCGGACGATCGATCACTTTGCGCGGTCGGGGGCGGCTGCCACGAGGTTGCCCCCAGTTGTGACTGCAGCGATTGTTACCTTGAGGGGACGGCTTGAGTCGGCGATTCCTTTGCAAATTTCGGCTCGATCCTTGGCCACTTGGTACCTGTTCACAGACGGATCTTGCGAGCCTGAGCGTGAGTTTGGTGCAGTTGGTGCCATTCTTTACGACCAGAGTGGAAGGGCTGTATCGGCCTTCAGCGAAAAGGCCCCAAAGGACGTCATGAGGCGACTCCTGAAAGAATCGTCCAATCCAATTTATGCTTTGGAGCTGTACCCAGTGTTGCTCTCCTACAGGAAATGGCAGCACCTCCTCGGGGGAGCCCAAGTCGTCAGCTTCGTGGACAATGATGCGGCCAAGTACTCACTAGTACGATCTTGTTCCTCGACAGATGAGGGTGCCTCTATCATCGAGGCGATCCGAAATCTTGAGCTGGATTTGCAGCTAAGGGCTTGGTACTCAAGAGTACCTACGCATAGTAACCCCGCTGATGCACCAAGCAGGTTGGATACCAGCGGCCTTGAGGGCATTCTCACTTCGTCACTCTCGTGGGAGGTGTCTTCCACTGCGTGTTGATGGGGGTTCCCGCCGGCAGTGATGGACCATCCCCATTGAGAGCAAAAGAGGCTGAGTGCGAAGTGCGATCTCTCATATTTCCTCCTTTCGAGATATATCATCTTGAATTTTATGAGTGAACCTTTTTGTTATCATATTCCTGATAACATATTTCGAAATATACGAGCTTAGATTTGCAAGCGATTTACGTGGCAGCAAATAAGTCGACACTCCCCAAACGACCACACAGAAGGGGATGTGACATTATTTGTTGACTTGTAAAAATTTGCTGTGGCAAATTAGCTTGCTTGATTTTAAATCATTTGAGCTCGTTTGGGTAGTTGAAGAAAACTCAGCCTGCGCAGCTGTGGCTCGCCAGCTTGAATTTTCTTGTCCCGCCCTGTCCCACCCTCGCTTCGATGGTTGATGGGGCCGTCGTTCCCGCCGGCAGTGATGGACCATCCCCATTGAGAGCAAAAGAGGCTGAGTGCGAAGTGCGATCTCTCATATTTTTTCCTTTCGAGATATACCATCTTGAATTTTATGAGTGAACCTTTTTGTTATCATATTCCTGATAACATATTTCGAAATATACGAGCTTAGATTTGCAAGCGATTTACGTGGCAGCAAATAAGTCGACACTCCCCAAACGACCACACAGAAGGGGATGTGACATTATTTGTTGACTTGTAAAAATTTGCTGTGGCAAATTAGCTTGCTTGATTTTAAATCATTTGAGCTCGTTTGGGTAGTTGAAGAAAACTCAGCCTGCGCAGCTGTGGCTCGCCAGCTTGAATTTTCTTGTCCCGCCCTGTCCCACCCTTGAAGTTGAGTTTTTCGCTTCATGTTGGTTGGGATGGTTGAGGTGTGTGGGCCTACCCCAAGCCGTCGTTCCCGCCGGCAGTGATGGACCATCCCCATTGAGAGCAAAAGAGGCTGAGTGCGAAGTGCGATCTCTCATATTTTTTCCTTTCGAGATATACCATCTTGAATTTTATGAGTGAACCTTTTTGTTATCATATTCCTGATAACATATTTCGAAATATACGAGCTTAGATTTGCAAGCGATTTACGTGGCAGCAAATAAGATAATATGTGCTGCATGGGGCATATTTTGAATTTTGGACATGGCGTGTTTTGAACAGGTTTGACAACCCGTGCTGGATGTAGGGCTCAGCATGTCCGGGGTGCGTCCGCTACATGGTTGCCCGCGAGGCCGCAAGACTACAGTTACCACACATTGTCACACAATTTACTTTTTTGCCTTGTGCAGAAGTGTCCGAATGTCGCATCGCAGCATTTTGAAAGGCCAAACGGCACGAGACAGTACAACCATGCACATGGAAATGAAGCCCACTTGAGCGATAGTGGAATGTGCAGGCACGAGAACTTCTTGACGATAGCACAATCTCCGAGCTCCACAGTGGTCACCAAAGGCTTTCATTGCCGATTGGCAGCTTCAGGCTAGTGCAGGGCCAGGTGTAAAATAGGCATAGTCCTGTCTTTCGCAAAGCGATGGCGAGCTTTGCCGCTAACCCGTCCATTGTGTCGGTGCCAAGAGGTGCTGTGCAATGCCAGAGTCTCCTCGGGAATAGTTGAACATGTCGACATAAAAGGTGCAGTCCCAAGCAGCTTCTTGTCAAAGTTGGGGTCGGTTGTGAACGAGTGTTGGCCAACACACAACGAAGGATCGGGCAAGAGTAGCCCCCTGGCTCATCGAAAGACAGATCGAGCGAGTTTGTTGCAAAGACCGTTTGCAGTCTAAGACGCTGCAGCAGTGGTTCCACGCAGCATTCCATGTCAGTGTTTCACACAAGGCGGGCTGCGGACCCAACCGACGCATGTACGAGTAAGGAGGGATACGGAAGGAAGACAGAGCTCGAATGGTGTTGTGTTCTACCCGCATCGAGCGCATGCGGGCCGGCATTGCATGTGTGTTGCGGCCTGTCAGAAGTCGTTTGTTTGGAGGCGCGTCCCCGACTTCAGCAAGCCGACAGCCACTGCAGCGCATGCTGGATCGGCGCATGCTCTCTGCCTGTGGCCCGGTTGGTCGAATGAAGCGAGCGGCGATCCTCTCGGCCTCGCGGTGTCAAAGGTTTCCACCTTCGTGTCTTCGAATGCCAGTGACACTCCTTTGGCAAGCCAGACAGCGCGCGAGTTCAGGCAAGAATCTGGAGTCTGGAGGTTTCGACTTTCGGATTTTGGGGTTCAGGTTCAGGGCTTTGGTAGTTAAGGGCTTTTGAGGAGACTGGGGTCGAGGATGTCCAGCACACGACGTGCTTTTCTCGTTTCTTGTGGTTGAAAGCTTCTCCACCAGAATTATGCAACATCTGTACACCCCATACACTGCTCCAAGTATGCAGGCCCTTGCATAAGTCCTTTTCAACCGTCACCGCGGACGCGAAGCTAGACTTACAGCTGGGGGGTTTTAGTCAGTTTAGTCCACAAGCGACCATCCCGCCGAGCTGACTCCTGAAGCCCACACGCCCACACCATTCGAAACAGCTCAACCCGCACACAGACAGACATTCCGCTAATGTTGTGCCCAAAGGAGTTTATTCGTGTTTTTAGACCCCCAACCGGAAGCCAAACACCCGAGCCCCTGGTGGACCCAAAACTGTACGCGTTACACCCGTCTTCTGCAATCCGCAAGCCCAGAGACGTTAAATTCGAAGCCTCTATCGTGAAACTAGATTCGAAACTTTCGGGTTTCTCCGCGAAGGAGGGCCCTGAGTTTCCAAACGCATGCAAGTTCCGTGAAAATGGAGATTTGTTTTTTAGGGTTTAGGTGGGAGATTCTAAAAAGCTGTTGTCCTTGTTAAAGGGCTCCTCATGATTAGAATCTACTGCTTCAAGTCTGTATTCGATCCATCTTTAGTCTGAAACTTGGTTATGAATTTTTGAGACTAGGAGCCGTGTTTGGAGTATATGTACAAAATGTATTAAACATCGAAGGAATAATTTTGCTAGTCCTTTCTACTACTTTGGCGCAAGGATCGCCTACATTTGTAGGGCTTCGCATTTTGTCCATGTTGTGCACCACAGAGGACAAGATCCTATTGTTTTTGCAATGCAGCCTGAGCATGAGCACCCTAAACCCCAACCCCCAATGCCCGGACCCAAAGCCCCAAATCCTCTTCCACGTCTTTGAACTAGGTCACTCTGAAGACACGCTCGTAACGCCCCAAAACACACCCGAAACCCAAACCTCTAGACCTTAAGCGCAGTCTAGCACGATGCTCTAACTCCGATCGTCTTCGGGTTTCTGCCACCGGTTTTGCTTGTGGCGGCTTGGGTGAGGGTGTCTGCTTGGGGGCTGTTGACAGCATCGTGTGAGTCTTGAGTTTGAACTTGTTGTCGAGGCGGCCAAGATCCACTTGGCCAGATGTGATGCCGGAGGCGATTCTCTTCCCGGTGCCAGACTTACAGTCTACAGTGTGCTTGATGGCTGAACCTGTCGTTGTTCAGTCAAGCTTCAACAGGCCAACAAGCCGACCAGCCGCGCCGATGCACAGGTCTTGGCCCGCTGGGTGCAAACCTCGGACCTGCCGCCTCAATCCGAAAGGTTGTGACTTCAGCCAGCCCAGGTTTCCTCGTCCTTTCAGACCTATGCCAAGAGGAGCAAGCAAGCGGACTCGAAGGTGGCACTGCCGGTTAATGTGTTTGCAAGAATAGGCTTGGTGGATGTAGGAATGCACCAGTTGCGTCCTAGGCTTTGTGCGATCGTTGCAGTGCGAGTCCTGCAAGATCTGCATGCAGTCCTGCTGGTCTTATGTAACTTCTGATCGTTTTGTGTCCTTCATAAAATGGTTGGAAGAAGCTCCGGCTTCCAATCTTGTTCTGAATCCTAAGGCCGACGACACGAAGCCCCAAACCCAAGCGTAGCAAACTTGGCACCGACACTCAGTTCATGGCAATTATTGGCCTGCTTTCGCTGCGAAAGCTTTTGGATTTTCGGATTTTTAGCACTGAGTGAGTCTGTTAACTCGGAAGCAATGGCTGGGCCTAAGGGGCTCCGCAGAGCAGACCAAAATTTTCCTGCTGGCCTCGCATCATGGATCGCCTGCGAATGCGACATCCGAGTATTGGATGGCTGTGCTGCAAAGCGTACTTGCGAGCCAAGAGGAGTATCAGCCCATGAGAGTTGATTGGGGAGTTTGAGTATGGAGTCGTCTTGCGACCTGAACTCTTTCTGGATCCCTTTCTCAAAATTGCGTTCGTTTGAGATTCAGGAGTTCCGCCTGTGATGCGCAGACTTAGGGAAAGCGGCTGGGCCATTGAGAATCGGAGTCGTCTGAGACTTCGCTTGGGCAACAGGCAACAGGCATAGAGTCAGAGCTGACATGACAGGAGATCTGCGAAGAGGACTTGACGAAGATGGCAGGGCGCCTGAGCGGTGTCCGGAGTCCGGCTGGCCAATTCCTTCTGCTTCGCTCTTCGCTGCAAGGTCCAGGAGTTGGTCCCAGTCCTCTCCATCGGCCTCAACGAGGTCGTGCGCCAGGCACCGGCAATCTCCGGCAATCTCAAGAACCGCTCAGGCTGCGTTGGCTTCGTTGGCGGTCTTGTGTCTTCTCTCGAAAGGTGTCCCAGCACTGCCTCGAGCGGGGCGTCGTGCTCGAGAAGATCTGGCGAACTTACGTCTGGGCCTCAGAGAGAGAGCGTTTCTGGTGCGGGCGGTGCAAACCTGTGGCCAGCTGCCTCAAAGGTTGAGCTTTTCGAGCAAGCTCTTGGCGAGTCACGAGAGGCCCTGCGGCGACAGAAGGACAAACAGCCTTGGATCCCAACTTTCAAGAGAGAGAGAGAGAAGAAGAAGAAGAAGAAGAAGAAGAAGAAGAAGAAGAAGAAGAAGAAGAAGAAGAAGAAGAAGAAGAAGAAGAAGAAGAAGAAGAAGAAGAAGAAGAATAAGAAGAAGAAGAAGAAGAAGAAGAAGAAGAAGAAGAAGAAGAAGAAGAAGAAGAAGAAGAAGAAGAAGAAGAAGAAGAAGAAGAAGAAGAAGAAGAATAAGAAGAAGAAGAAGAAGAAGAAGAAGAAGAAGAAGAAGAAGAAGAAGAATAATAAGAAGAAGAAGAATAATAAAAATAAGAAGAAGAATAAGAAGAAGAAGAAGACGGCATGCATTGTCTTTGCGTCTGAAAGAGGATGACCGACAGGGCATCGAAACAGAAAGTCGGAAGCACGTCGCCCAAAAAGTTCGTGGGCTGAGTCATCGGAGTGAGTCATCGGAGCATGAACTCGACCATCGCTGTCCTTCAGTGTGGTTCCTTCAGCGCGGAGTTGTTTCCTTGAGCTGATTCGGACACGGAGCATGGTGCGGGCTGAGGGCTGAGGGTTGAGGGTTGAGGGGAAGTGCTCCCTGGGGGCCTGCGCCGCGCGGCTGAAGGACAAGACCGCGAAGGCCGAGGCCGGAGCGCCGGAGCCGCGACGCTTCGCCCGCGAACGCTGGCCGCGGACCCGGGGCGGACCCTTCGCGTCCTTGGGCTTGGGCCCTAGGCAGAGCTGCAGCGGGTGCGCGACGAGGCCACGGAACTAAAGGCGGGCACCCTGGACCCTGGCGCCTCTCCGGCGTGACATTGCAGCTTGTGGCCTCAGCCAAGCATCGAAAGGCAAAGCACCCAGCGCAGCTGGACAAGCTTCGCCAGACACTAACCACGAAGCTCCTCACCCAGCTTTGAGAGGCTCCCCTCACTGTAATGAGCTTCTTCTGTAGACGTATCGAGAAGTCAGGTTTGACCAGCGTCAGAATGAGCTGGTTCAGCAGTTGACGAGTACGCGCAGATCTGCTCTCAGAAGTGTTCCTGTACACCGCCTAGCCACGTGCCATGTGATCCTGTGTCGGGCAGTCTCTTTCCAACCCAGCTCCCAGGCGAGAACCGGGCATTGAAGGTGCACTTGGAGGAGCAGCTGTCAAAGCAACACGCTGCCTGCCCAGAACCCCCAGAGACTGTTGCAGAGAGCAGCACTGTATCATCACGGTGCAAGGCTTGGTTTCCGATGTTTGCGATCTACAAGGACACGTTCTTTGTGCCATCCTTGTGGCCTGTGTCTTCCTATGCTATTGCGACGGGGTCATGTTCGGAACAGGTCATGTGGCATTGTAAGCCTTGCTGGGAGCTGTTGGCAGCCCCGTCGAGGAATCGCGGTATCGAAGAGCACTGCTTGGAAAAGCGGTGGTGTGGTCCTTGTGCCACACTTCTGTCCGAGTAAGACTCGTGCACCATCGAAACTTAAAGTCCCCTGCGTGAGGCTGAGCTGCCTAAAGCGGCAAGCGTAGAGGCCGTGCGTGTCAAGTTTCGGGGCCTCGAAGATTGACCAATGCAGCGGCTTTGCACTTTCAGATCCTGCGACCGAAGTAGAAATGGGCACTGCTGTTCGAGGCGCGGCTGGCATCCGACTTTCGCAGGACGGTGACTTTGGGGTGTTCTCACGGCGTAGCTCTGTTGCTCTCCAGGATTCTCAGCTCTTTGCCAGCAGATGTCCGCCGAAGATCCTTGGCGAGCCAGAGTGGGCGCCGGGATGTTTTATTTAGCAGTTTCGCAGTTGGCCGAGCTTGGAGGAGCACTGCCCACTGCTGAGTGGCCGATGTTCTCGCCTCCAGCGGTCTCACGAAATCTCAGACCGACCCGTCGGGGAATTGCGAGGGGGCGCAGGCTTGAGGACATGGTGGAGACAAGGACGGTCTGTGCGAAGTCAGAGGTGGCGAGCAATCGGCCTGCCCGGAGGGTTCGTGCTTATCGTTCGGGCGTGAACCGAAAGAAGGACAACACAATCATGCTCTGCGGGCGACTACAGTTGACCAGCCTTTGATGGGTCCATGGAAAATCGAACCAAAGCTCATTCGATCCGACAGCTCCATTCAGTGTCAATACACGAATTTTTGTTGAATGTTGTTGGCATCTGAGATGGCTTGGCGCAGTATCCCCTCCACTCGAGAGAGTTAAAACGCCCAAAACCTGCTTTCGCCCACCTTCGGGGAACAAGGTTATGCAAGTACAGCACTATGTCGCCAAACGTGCAATCTGATGCTGCGGCTATGCTTAGGAGTTGGATTCTTCATCTCCTCTTTGCCGTGAGCCTAATCTCCAGGCAGATACCATGCTCATGGAACTTATTTAGCCGCCTGGAAGATTCAAGCTGTGAACCTTCTTGGATACATGACGAATCACTGTGCAAAGCCGTCTGCAGCTTTTTGCCTACTCAAAGTGTTCAGAGCTCGACTCACTCAGGTCGTCCTTGTAGCGACATGCGAAAGCAAACTTTTCAGCTCCTCAGCATCGCAAGAGGCCACACCTTACACCACACACCGGCAACCCCAGACTGTGCAAAAAAATGGTTTGCAAAACAATGGCGAGGGCTTTTCTTTTAATGGCGCTCAGCAGGCAGACATTGAGTCCTTGCACCTGTGTGCTCTGCGATTGCTTGTTGGAGCTCTGCAGGTCCATGGATGCCGATTTGCCGGGTGACGAGTGTGCCTCGGGCCAGGCGGGTCGACAGTCTCGCTGCTCTGTCTCACAGCAACATACTGCGTTGCGTGCCAGGACAATTGCGGAGTCTCGATGTTGCAGCGTCGAAGCGCACAGCGGCTCGCCTGCGAAAGAGACGTGGCCTCGCCTTCCATCATTCGCAGAGGTGCTACTCCTCAAACGCTCGTCGTGATTCCGTCGCTCCAAGCCCTTCGAAAATACTACGAGCAATGTCGTTGTAAGCATTTGATAGTTGGAGCAAGGATGTCTGCAGCCAGCGGAGAGGCTATTGCTGTTACACTCGAGGCTCGAGGAGCAAGACCACTGGTGCATGGGGCAACAAGCTGCATCTTTTTCTGTGGCCCCTTGCACAGGAAGCCTTCCTAGAAGTGGTCACCGGGCCACCAAGCTTTGCTTCTTGCAACGGTGTGAGCTACGACAAGTCGCAGCAGAGCTGCTGCGGAGGCGGAAGGGCGAAGACGTTTGGATAAAAATACCGCATGCATGCCGCATGCCTTTTGCGACATGCACCTTGGGCTTTTTTTGCCCTGTGCAGGGACGCTCTACTCTCTGACATCCGAGGGCTGCTGCGGAAATCGCAGCGTGTATTCCTTTGCCCGACAAGGCCGGCCAGACACATGGATGTGATGGAACATGGTACGCAAGTGCGTTTAAAAGGCACAGCGGCACAGCTGCAGGCTGTTGCAACAACGACAATGTCTTTACGTATGGGGAGGAGCTCCTTGGAGCAATTTTGGCATGGAGGCTGTAGATCACTCCGTTGCTTTAACCGCATTGTTTTTTCCAGGCATCGGCATGTCAGAAAACTTAGTGTGCACGTGCCGGTCCCCACGTAGTGGAGATCTGCTACAGAGCGTGGACCCTCAGTCCTGGACCCTGGAGACTCCAAAGTCTTGAGTGCCTCCTTAGCAAGCCTAAGCCCTAGGCAATCCCTGAGAGCACTGAGATCTGCTGGCGTGGGTGGGGCTCCTCGTTGGCTTGCGCAGAGTTGAATCGACCGGGATAGATGACTCAACTTCAGAATGCTGGGGGCCCCGATTTTGCCTGCAGCAGTTCTCGTGTGTTTGTGCAGCTCCTGTTGAGTGCTTGTGCTCAAGCCCCGCTCCACCAGAATTCACTATCTCGGCTTGTCGTGGACGTTTCCAGCATTGGGCTCCACGTCTCAAACCCGGACAGTTGCTCGATGCACAGTTGCACCATGCTCCCACTCCTACATCTTCACTTGAAGCTCTGATTCTGCGCCTTTGGGGTCTGAACTCTGTTGACAGACCTGTACCTCCGTGAGGCCTGAATGATGTAGGACACAGGAGATTTAGTGGAAAGGAGCTTCAGCTGGCGCTCATGCCGACACTGCGAAAGAGTCTGCAAGAGAGCCTTAGGGAGGATAGAAGCAGCGCTACAGCAACGTGGCGGAAGCCCAGACGCCAAGACGCCGCTCCGCTCCGCTCCGCTCCGAGGATCTGCTCCGAAGCTTCGGCTCCTCCCGGTCCCGGGCATTCGGAGTTTGCGTGTGCCGCTGACTGGCCTCCGGAGACCTACAGCCGGAGACCCGGGGACAAAGGACAAAAAGGACAAAGGTCTCCTACGTAGCTCCTACTAAGCTACTACACTGTTACTACACATCTTCAACCATCCACAACACCCATGACTCCTCAGGCAACTATTGGCGCCGCTACTGCGCTGCAGGCCAGGGAAATGCAACTCCGGGCAAGCACTGTGGCCTAGCGGTTTTCTCCAAGACGTTGCAAGATTGCCAGATTGAATTCATAGCAGTCTGCGGTGCATATAAGACTGTGCTTTTCACGCAGTGCATGATCCTGGCCACGTAGAGTTGAGATTGACATGGGACAGAGACGTTGTTCGGCATACCGAATGCAAAAGGCTTCTCAGCTGCCTCCATCCAGGTGCGTAGGTTTGCGCACTGGGTCGGTCCCAGAGTGCAGGACATCACATGGCCTGGGCCATGACGGAGTCGTGCAAAGTTGGGTGGCTCTCCGTACAACAGCCGCTTGATAGAACTGGTCAGTCGTCTTCAATTGCGGTGGCCTTTTGCAATGCAGCCCCAAACACTGCAAGCACGATGCTGCTGTTGCTGCATCAGTTTCAGTACACTTCCTGAAGTGGCAGTGGCGGCAAGGAGCAGTATCGAGCAGGCCGAGGCAAAAGCCCTGGAGTCCTGCAACAAGAAGGCTCGTCTCTGCCGTCGATGGCGATCAGGAAAGCTCTCTGCAGTTCGACGAAGGCCGCCGCTTTCGACGGCGAGACCTGCAAGATCTTTGACAGAGATGGTGGCGAATGCCGAAGGCACGCTCAGGCTGCTTGAAGTGGACGAAGCAGTAGCGTGCACCTACATCAGGCAGCGCTGCGGCACGGACATCTACGATGCTTCCGTGCAACTCAGCCGAGCGAGCACCGTGCATTCTTGGCAAGGACAGTTGCACATATCCGATTGGACAGCAACAAATCCCAAGGAAATCATGTTGCGGAGGCCGCGTGATCGACCGAGTCGCGCAGGTTGGGATTCGCGATTGATTTCTGTTGGGAACGGCCAGAGAGACTTCAGACGTCTGTCCGGCAACCTGAGTCTTTCTGCACATGCTGTTGCCGCTTTGCCAAATTTCTCACAGCAGCTACGGTAATTACACTTGCCAGTGCGATTTCTTCTTGCATGATAAGAAGTCTTTCTGCTGGCAGCCTGTCGCAAGGGCTGCTGCAGCGGCGTGGCCTTCAAGGCCCAAAGCCAAGGCTGCTGCCAGGGCCGGGTATACTCCAAGGCCAGCCACCCAGTGGTCTCCCCTCATGCCTATCGAAGCCCTTGTGGAGGATTTTATCGTCGTTCGTGTGCATTAGATTACTACTTATTACATAATCACAGCAGCATCTGAGGCCTCGTACAGTTGCTGCGGTGGCAAGGTGCTCTATGATTCCGGAGCGCAAGGATGCTGCTTACAAAATGGCCCTCAGGTGTGGTGCTTCGAAACATTCATGTGTGCGTGATTGCACTTCAATCGCTTCATGTCCACATTCATGACCTTGTTGCTGGCAGATCCAACCTGCAGCTTCACGTTCAGGTCTACAAATTTGGTGTGCAGAATTGCTGTCGGCGTCCGAAGGGCGTTTGCCGAATACGACCTGGCCAGTACAGCTGTTGCCACTGAACAACGAGCTTCCCTGAGCCTTGTGTAGGCTTGTAGGCTTGTTCCTCCTGCTAGGCGGTGTTTGATCAGGACCCGTGTGTACGCAATTGCCTGCCTTCTAACTGTTTCGAGCTCGATGTCTTTGGCGGAGAAAAGTCCGGAGAAGTGTGCGCGCTTTGGGTGGGTGACCGGCATCGAGCTTTCTCTGAGGCTCGGTTTCCGTGGTGTCGGGCTCAGTGCCGTCACGAGCGAGGCCTGGAAGCCGTTATCAGTGCGAGGTTTTAAAAACTCATGTTCGAAACGTCGAAACTCAGTATCATCAGGGGCCTTGGCGATTGCTTGCAGTCGGTGCTTGCCATGTCAATTACAATGCATCTGCATTGAGTTTCGTTTCGTTCCGGTCAGACGAGATTAAGCCTAAGCCATGTGTCATGGTGCAGTATGGTACACTTGCACCAGTGCAGATGCAAATAGGAGAACCAACGCATGCATTTCCGTGTGTGTTTGTTTCGTTTTCTTGTCATTGGTGTCCCTGCATCTATGCATCCATGCACATCCATCCATCCATCCATCCATCCACATCCATCCACATCCATCCACATCCATCCACATCCATCCACATCCATCCACATCCATCCACATCCATCCATCCATCCATCCACATCCATCCACATCCATCCACATCCATCCACATCCATCCACATCCATCCCCAGCCATCCATCCATCCATGCATCCATCCACCCATGGATGGATGCATGCAGGTCGATGCAACCATGCACGTATCATCACGTATCCGTTCGTCCCTCCGTTAGCTTTCTTTTGAGACTGTAGATGTGGAAATCACGTTCTAGAGCCTCAAAGGATCGGGGTTGACGGTGTTATCTCCACTTCACCTACACTTACATCAACTTCTTTTGACCAGTTTGTGACATGAGATACCGCAGGGAGCATGTCAGTATGTTCGTCTTGCGAGTTTGCGGAGTGTTTCTCAATGCACTCATTTCTCCGAGCCAAAAGAAAGCTTCTCTGGTAACAGACACCTCTTGACTTCTAAGTCCCACGTAAAAGAGTTCTCCGAACAAGCAACGAGATAACCTTCTCTTCATGGGGAACTCCTGTTTCGTCAAAAACAATCGTAGCGAGACTCCTGCATTTCTTGCCGCTGGCTCAGACGCTTAAGAACCTAGCTACAACAAAGAAGATTTGATTTCCTTAGCCTCGTATGAATTGCGTGAACACACCTGTGTTGCCTTATGTCGGACCAAACACCAGGACTTTGCTGTACCGCACTACATTCAATCAAAATCATCAGGTTGCCAGAAGCTTTCCGTTTCCTGCATCAACATAAGAAATATTGGAACTTTTTTGATTGTGACCAGGACATGACAAGGCTTCTTTGTGAGCTGATTGGCGCCTCGAGGTAAATGATGTTTCGTGAACAGACATACGAAGGCAGCAAGACGGGAATTGATTGCTCGTATCGAAACACGTCTCTGGATTTGTGAGCTTTGCATGTGGCGGTGGTGGTGGTGGTGGTGGTGGTAGTGGTGGCAGTAGTAATCATAGGGATGGACCATTTGTATATTGCAAATACAACTCTTAAAATGAAATTAACATGCAGCAACAAAGCTACATCAAGAAGCTCCTTCGCATTGCAGATTTGAGAAGGAAACGAGAGAGAATGAGGAGGAATAGGATTGCTCTTTCATGTTCTATCCAAGTAAGAGCCCATGCAAGATCATCTCTAATGCATACAGGCTATGACAACTCCAAGGTTTCTGCTTAAGTGATACACGTGGTCTTTCTCTGGAACTGCGAGAACTTTGTTGTCATCGTTCGAAGGGCGCAAGAAGGTACATTTGTCCTTCTTGTAATTACATGTAATTGATATTGACATGTAATGTATATTGGCTTCTGAAAGTCTTGCTGAGAGATGAGCAGGTTCCGCCTACCTTCAATATGCCCGTTAGCAGGCAGGTGCATGAGTACCCATATAGAAACTTCTACTTACGTAGGTATGCTTGCCGTTAGGAGACATACTTCAGACAGATCGGCACGCTGAAAACAGAAGGCGACTGCATCCGCATTTCACGTTCAAAGATCCCCAATTCCACAAGCCTATATAGGACATTCCGCAGACCGCAATCCACGTTCAAGTCCACAGTACTGATTGTGGTTGTCCCGTCCCCAAATAGAAGGCCCCCCGACCGATGATGATGACGAAGATAGTCGTGGAACCCCCAATGAGAATGGCGATATTGTTGTATTGTTGTGGACATCTGCAGACACTGACGCTGCTGTGCTTATTGCACACCGGTATCCCGAGTGTGACTGTTGGAGTGCAACTGCTCTTATGCTGTCCTGGTCGTAGGTACCGCATGTTCTTTGCTTTTATGCATTTGAGAAGCTTGCCTGGCTTGATGTTCTTTCGTCGTGGCTTATATCGACCGTTGTCATTCTATGCCAAGTTTCGCTCGGATTCGTCAAAAGAAAGCCTGAGCAGGTTTTTGAGTGACTTTCATTAGCAAGGGACTATTCTCGGGTACAACAAGAAGATCGACAATCAGGGCACAAAATGGAGGACCGCAGTTTACAAGTTGAACGGGGATAGAGGAGCTCTGGCTCAGACATCAGGAGCTCTTCTACGCGAGTTTACTCAACGAAGATGAGATGAGATGTTGGTGCCAAGTATGCCAGACCAAAGGAATGGCATGCAATACAAAACAAAATGAGATGATCCGTAAACGGTATGCTTTGGGCCCCTTGCGAAGCCAGACACCAGGAATGACTCAGCACGAAATGAGATGAAGATGAAAGTGATACATGCTCCCCAAGCTATCCCCGCAGCGATCCATGAGCGAGCTCCTATACCCCGTCCTTCCCCGTACACACACACACATATGACGCAGGTAACTTGTATGTATACACACACACGCACATGCACACACTGCATTTGGATGGAACTGCACGAATGCACATGATAGCTCTATGTATCTTTCTTTCTGTTTATAAGAATTGTATGTGCATATGCGTGTATGTAACTTGTTATCTATCAGACTTGCTACGCACACTTGCCGGGGTAGGGGGCTATGGCAGACATTGCAGGCGCTGCAAGAGAGGAAGGAGCTGAATGCCAAGAAGATCAAGGAGCTCAAGGCGTGAGAAGAAAAACTTGTCCGAGAGTGCATGGATGCCTTTGGCGGCCTCGCAGCCCGTCTCGGAGAGACTCTCCGGTTAGAGACTCTCCGGTCTCCGCTCTGCGAGGCAAAGCTGCGGCAGCTGCAGGGGCAGGCCTGGGGCCTGGGCCCAGCGGGGCGGAAGTGAGGGCTTTTGTGGCTCCTTAGGGGGCAAGGGGGTACTAGCGAAAGGGCAAGAACCTCTGACAGATGGCAGGATACTTCCGAGAGTTCGGAAGAGGAGGCGCGCCACAAATGCTGAGAGACGACAAGTCCTACACCTGTTGAGCTGAAGCTACGCCCACCAAAGGAGCCTGGAAGCCAGACAGAAGAGGCCACGCGCAATGTCGGGCAGTGTCAGGTAGAAGCCGTTGTTGGGGGCTCTTTGCAGTCTGGTTTTCCCGCAGGCTAACCTTGCCAACACGTGCGAGGCGCAACGGGAGGAATTTCCCCCATGCGTAGACTTCCCACGACGCCGTCAGAAGACTTGAGGGCTTCAGGCAAAGGCTTTTTTGGTTATCTGCTGAAGCTCAAGATGCCTCCGAGTGACTCCCGGTCCAATCTAAAGTCTTCATCTTGGAGCACGACACAGTCTGAAGCACCTGTATCGCAGACCAAAGCTTCAATCCTGCGGTCCTTATGCGTCACGGGGTGTTGGGGAACCAGAAAATTTGGCTGACGACATTTGCCTCAGCGAAGTGTGCGTCCGGTTTGTGCTTCGACATTGTTGGCTTTTGAACAGAGGTCAGTCGTCACGGCTTACATATCAAGCTCTTTGACCCGATCACACTCAAGAATCGGAAAGTGGCTTGCATCTTGTTACAAGCTCGTTCATGGTTGGTGCATGACTGTTAAGGTGCCAGACATACCACCGGCAACTTCAACAGCACCGAACAACGGGGCCGACGAGGATGGGCCAGCCGTCCATTGGAAAAGACTGACAGACCTTGTGATAGTTAGCACTTCAGTAAAAGTCATAAAGATAACACGAGCGCACTCCCTGCGTGTTGCTGCATGGGTTATAGCATGTTGCACTGGCAAGCACTGGGTTCAGATTCTGGTGCCAGGGCTTGGTGGATCCCCTGGCAGACTAGACAGCAGAATGAAAAGCCCGTGCCAATGCCAACGTGTCCCTGCCGAGACGGTGCAGCTCGTAGTTGTACTGCAATTACACATAAATCCCTACACACATTTAATTCATACATAGATATATACACACACATGTATGCACACCTACATCTCTATTCTATATCCGTCCATCCATCCATCTGTCCATCCATCAGGCAGGCAGGCAGGCTGGCTGGCTGGTACGCACGCACGCGCGTACGCACCAAGAAACTTCCATAAGGTTGCAAACTCATCGTGCTTGTGCTTCAAAAGCAAAGTAAAGGCCGTACCATGCACATGATGGGACCATAAAACTTCAAGTTGTACTCTGCAGCATGTTTCTGCATGTTGCCCTGTGCTCACAGCGCTTCTTGGCATTGATCCGCTTCCTCATTTCATGCCATTACTAACTCTCAGCCAAAATCCACAAACTCAGAAACGTGGTTGGCACGCACAGCTCTGCTATCAGCTAGGAGGAATCCAGAAGGAACATCGGCTCGCATGTTTTTTTGAGCAGCTTGCCATGTTGAGTGATGGCCTTCTCTTACAAACTTCTCTGTGCAAGCCCACGCCTGGTCCAGAATCCCGAAGGCTTGGAGGAGGCTTGCGATTCGGCTGTGACATTGATCTGCTTTCAAACGCCGTTTGGTAGAGTTGTTCCTGTGCAGGGGCCGTCTGGGCTGCAAGTGCACATGAAACTCTGCCTTGGTGCACGAGGCTCCCGCAGACGGCCTAGG